TAGTCTCAGGTCAGCTCCAGTGCCTTTGAGCTCCAAGAACGAATTGTGTCAAGATCTCCTGAGTGACGTTATCGATTTATAGAAAAAACAGGGTACTGTCATCATTCCTTATGTGGTGATAGAAGTATTCTTCTTACCTCATTGCATCGAAGACGTCCCCGGGCGCCATGCAAGCACTCCACCTGAATTAAATAAATGCGTCTTAACTCCAGTCCTTTCGATATCGTGTCAGCTCTAACGAGAACTTTCCATCTTGTTTAAGGTCGTCCTGAAGCCGCCTGACATCGGGCTTTCAATTTGGAAAGGCGGCTATCGTCTATTGGTTGGCAAAAGCACCACAATCTTAAACATATCGCTTGCAATTAGTCGGTCACTTCACTTGGATAGTCTAATCTCTGTCTTGCAACAACATCTGACACCAGATCGTATCATTTCACTTCTAATGAGAATCTTCTCACGTCGCTTCCAGTTTTCTCTTTCCAAGTTCGTTACGTGGTGCTGTCTCTAGGCCATAGAGCAAGACTTTCAGAGTGCAAACCCTTTACATCCTCAGCTTTGTGCCATTGCCAGCATCATATGCTCCCTGCCAATGCCAACGCACAGTGTCCCCTTGCTTTGTTTCTCGCTCGTCCGTCTGCAGCCAGTATACTTCGAAGGTGCAGATGTTCTGGTTCTTGTTCCACAGCTTCAGTGTCAATGATCAAGCAGTCTTTGATCTGGATTCTACTAGTTTCCACTCACTTCGTCTTCTTTAAGTGAATCGAAAGACGAAGGTCAAAATACCTCTGTTTCAAAGTTACGAACAGATCGTCGCTACTTCGAAGTTGTATGCAAGCAGCGCGGCATCCTCCGCAAATGCAACATAGCTTACGCAGATGTTGCTCACTCTTGATGCACTCTCACTCCTGCGTATTGGTTGGAGCATACGCTCTCACACCTGGTCAAGAAACGTCGCAGACAGTAGTGGAGATTCCACTCCTCCTTGCCTTACTGCAAGCTTTCTACGAAAGAGTTTCTCCAACCTGCCCTCAATTCGCGCCGCACTTGACGAGGGATGAAACACTTTTTTAATCATGCGAATAATTTTTGGTGGGATTCCATAATGTTAAGCAGCTTTCTACAAGACATCTCTCCGGATTGGGTCAAAAGCTTTGATAAAATCAAAGAAGATTGCAAAAAATTGCTGATTGCTTATTCACACACTGATTTACTGCAGCAACTAAACACGTAACTGCAAATTTGAAAGCCAGGTTGAAAAGTTTGTTTCCAGTGCATGCGGCGCTATGTTGTATTATCAGCATTCTACGTAGAAGAGGAGCGAATATCACTAGTGATCTTTAACGGTACTCTAGTATTTGCACTGATGAAAATGAACTAACGCTTTAACTGCGAGTCGAAGTTTTACCGTCAAAGTCGAAATTTTACCGTCTGTTTTTATTGACTAGGTTTTCATAAATCTTTAAAAGCATTTCCTCTTAATTTTTCGAAGTTTATTTGTAGAATATGGTTTCAACAGCAAGGCGTTTCCGTTTTAGACTGTTTTTAATGATGCTATGAAAAAAATCGCCACCCTGAACGGCAGTGTTTCGCCCCTTCCAGAACAGAAGTTTTGTCCGCTAATCAATGGAACCGTATGCGATGTTAGTCAACATTCTTATGACGTAAGTTTAGCCGTTGGTTGTTCTCATTACTGACAAAAATTGTTCAATTTTTCTACGATAATCTTTAAACATTTTTTACAACATCAGCGGTGGTAATCAATTGCAAATTCAATTAAAAAATTAGAATACGTAAAATTCAACTCCTCGTGACTCTGGTGGTGACAGCTACGTTCACTGACGCCCAGCGTTCATCGTTCACCCAGGATCCTTTTATTTTTCTTTTCTGTCTAGTGCCATAAGTTCTCATCTTCTGTTCTTAAAGTAGACTCTCAGACGAAGGGGTAATTCTTCTGGGATCAACTGCTTCAGTGACAACAGCTTTTACGTAAGTGTTTTTAGTTAATGCACTTTTCATAAACTGATGTGACTTAGAGACGTGAAGGAAACTCTCGTACCGTGATTGCCATAATCTCTTTAGCCAATTGTTTACGGATCCACATCAAGTGTTTGCCTCTGTTATGTCAGCAAATCAGAATAAACTTCGCCTTACTGCCTTCCATCTACAAGCGATCCCTTGTTTTGGCTGCTTTCTTGTAATGTTGTTGTCATTTTAGCGTTTTCATCGAACGCTAGTGGAGCTTAAATAGCGGAGTGACGCAGGTATGTGATGTCTGTCCGTTACACTTCTTCTTTGACGGGAGTCTGACAACGAAAATTATCACTCAGACAAAACTTGAGATGTTGACTTACATTTATTAAATTGTTAAACTTCTGGATTAGCTGTTCGTTTTGCTGTCACTTCGCTTGTTGTTCTATGGCAGACTGTGATTCTTTTGCAAAAATACCTCACATTTCAAGAAACCCTTGTTCCGTTTTGTATATGGGCAATAAAATTAAATGTCTCCAGTTTTTTAGTCCTATTGTTCCAGCTCCAAAGCTTTTCCGTAGACGCCCTTAATGGCTTAGACTTCAGCACATCTTCATAATTGAAAATATATAGCCTATTCAGCTTCTGGAATTACAGATATTGCTGCATATTCATGTGTATTTGAAATCGGTTGCGGAATTGAGATTCTTCTTCTTATCCAATTGTTGATTGATTGGCGGTTTCGAATTTCTTCTGCCCTATTCTTCTCCTGGCTTTATCCTGTAATACCCGCGTGCATGTTCCACTGGACAACATTGCGACAGATCAGAATAGAATATATCTTCTGCCAATACCGAAACGACGTTCTTCCGTGCCAATATTTCAAGTAAGAATCATTCAAAGCAGAAAGGTTTCTTATTCAATGGTTAATCACACAGATATTAGACGAATCAGGATATCTGTGACGACTTTTCTAACATGCCACAGTGTTCATTACTTGGCAGACGGTTTCGTACCCTCATAGTGAACGTTTCGGCTTGTTCGAAATGCCGGCATAAATAAACTGATGTATCTCGTTTTCATGTTATTTGCCACTGGATGAGAAGTCATCACCACTGAGGCGATCATTCGCGCTTTCTTAGAGGTGATTATGGCAAAGGAAAGTACATGATGTTGTTTTTCTTTCTGTCATTATATTTCGTATTTAGATTATTGAGCATATTTTGCGATTAAGATGATATATTGAACTACAGAGGGCATTTCTAATGATACCCACAATTCCACGTAGTCGTCTAGGAGGTCAGCAAACATTTAATTGAAATTTGACTTATTCTCCATGGTTACGCAACAGCCATATTAGAAACTCAGAATTTGTAAAAGCGTCATCTGCATTGTAATTTAAAAACTCAAAACTCTTCGAACTGTGCTTCAACTTTCTCAAGTCACGCCCTAGACTGTATAAGCGAAAACTGAAATTAGCATCATTCGAGCTATTCACATTCAAAGTGACCAAGTCGTATGATTATGACAATGTAGCCCAAATGCAGAAGGCATTTAAATTGCATAGGCAAATGTTAATGTGTTGTGGCAAATCCTAAACATCATACAGGAGATAGTGAAAAGAGCTATTTCCTGTTGCCTTAATGGCGTTATGATTCGTTTATACTGCACTGATATT